GGGGTTCTCAAACAGGGGGGTGTCTGGGGATCAACAAGCCAAGGGTTACTGGTGAGTAGCCGGTGGGTAGCCCTGTGCTCGCTGTGCGGAAGGGAAGGGCTTGAGAAGACCCAGGGGTGAATCTGTGCCTGAGCAGGAGTTTGCTGGGTTTGTGGGAACATCCTGGGAATGGAACCAGAATTCAGTGGCCAGGGCCAGCAAAACTCCAGGCTGACATTAGTGTCAAAACAAGTCGCATGTTGCAGCAACTGTGCCACCAGAGTTCGGCCTGGTTTACTGGCATACCTCTCTGTTAGGAGTGAGGGAAATATTAGACCCTGAATCAACCTAGCTATGCCAGCAAAAGACTCAGTGTAGATTTAACAATGAAGAGTCCTGTGGCATCTTAAAGACTAACAGATTTACTTGGGCCTAAGCTTTCATGGGGAAAGACCCACTTCGTCAGGTGCATCTGACAAAGTGGGTCTTTGCCCATGAAAGCTTAAGCCCAAGTAAATCTGTTAGTCTTAAGGTGCCACAGGTCTCCTTGTTGTCCTTGCAGATGCAGACTAACAGTGTGGATTTTGTTACAGGGGGTAAAAAAATATTTCCAAGATAACAGTGTTTTGTCCGTGTAATTGATTTGTGTCTGTGTTGAGAGGCTGACCTTGAAGAGGAGGAGAGTGGAGGAATGAGATGTGTTTTGCTTTAGACTGTAATAAGACTTTCACTGCCTGCCCAGCTCCCTGACTACCTTTCATCTGTCTCCTGATTGAGAAATGCTTCCTTACAGTTCCGAGTTCCACTGGCTGATCTTTTTTTAAGCCGTGTATATTTCTGTTGATTTTAAATGTGGTTTTAAATTTTTCATTGACTCTTTGGTCTTGTCATCCTATGATTCACTGGGCAATAGTTATTTTACATATACTAGATTTCTTATCCTACACTGGCCAAATAATTTTCTGTAATGTCATGTTCTGTGGGGCCGGAATTACCTCACAATGAACTAATTAAACCGTATACAGTGAAGGCCAGGGAATAGCAAGCCCTGTAGGTAAGCAAGAAGTTAGTGCAGTGACAGACAGCCTAGGGTAGGGAATAGCCAGCAGGAGTAGCCCTCCTTTATTTTAGTGGGCCATAAGACCATTGCAAAAAAGACAGTCTCCCGAGATAGGCAAGCGCAGCTAGCAAAACTATGCTATGTATAACTTATAGGGTGTGCTGATTGAACTGTAGCAGCACTTTGATAGGATGCAGAGGGAGCACATGGCTTTTACAGTCAAGGTTCTGTGCGATCAGCAAGCACCTCACTTCATGTGCCCTTGCTTTACATGGGTGTCCCTTCAGTAATTCTTTTGTGTGTGTGTGGGGGGGGGGCAGTGGAATCTGGCAACAGTCAACAAAATGTCTCGCAGGTCACACATAGAACCCATGTGGCTCACAGGCTGCCTACCATTGGGCTAGTGTTTTTCTGCCTGAAAGTGGCATTGGTCTTGTATATCCTCTTGAAAACTCTTGTCCCAGCATATATAGAGGTTGAATGCTTAGAGGATTTTTGTGCTTGTGAAATCAATTCACCATTTGTGCTTTTCCCTATGTTCTGGAAAACTTGGGCTTTCATTTTTAAAAAAAAAGTTTCCATAATCATTATGAGGTTAGATTTAAATTTTGGTCATAAAGAAGAAGCATTCCCCCTCCTCCCCCAATGGAGCAGGCAAGTTTTGGCATATGTAGGTGTTTTCAACCAGCCGGAGATGAGAAACATTTAAAAGATTCTTCTCATGAACTAGTTTTTTTGGTTGCTTGTTTTGACTCGTGTCCCGTGGCGAATTAAAGGAAGGTGAAGCTTTATGGTGCATTTGGGGCAAAGACTGTCTTCTTGTTCTGTGCTTGTAAACTCCCAGCAGTATGGGGTCAATGTTCATGGCTGGAATTCCAAAGTGCTCCAGAAACGCAAAAGATACTATTTATTACAGCTTGAAAAATACTCAGCAAAGTTTCCTGTTGGTCAGTAGAAAAAGCAGTGTGTGCTGGCTTCAGACTAGGGGGCTGTGTCTACACTGGCATGAATTTCCGGAACTGCTTAAAATGGAATACTATTCCGTTTTCAGTTTTTCCGGAAAAAAAGCATCTACATTGGCAGGCTGCTTTTCTGGAAAAGCCCTTTTTCCGGAAAAGCGTCTGTGGCCAATGTAGACGCGCTTTTCCGGAAAAGAGCCCCGATCGCCATTTTTTATTAGTGTTCCGGAATAAGGACTTATGCCCAAGCGGGAGCAGAATAGTTTTTCCGGAATAGCGACTGATTTTGTACAGTAGAGCATCGTTGCTTTTCCGGAAATTCAAGGGCCAGTGTAGACAGCTCGCAGCTTATTCCGGAAAAGCGGCTGATTTTCCGGAATAAGTGGCCCAGTGTAGACACAGCCGGGATTTGAAAGGTTAACTGGTTAACCCAGGGGTTCTCAAACTTGTGATACCGCAACCTCTCTCTCAGTTGCTCACGACCCCCTTCCCCATTGCTGCAACCAGCCTCTCAGTTGCTTGTGACCCCCCTCTAATTTGTTTGCGATCCCCCTCTAAGTTGCTCGTGACTCCCCGGGGGGTTGGGACCCACAGTTTGAGAAATGCTGGGTTAACCCATAAGCACCGCACTAAATGGGGAATGCTTACCAGTTCCGGGTAACTGGTGGGGGCTGGAGCAAACAAGAGGCAGCGGGGTGTGGGGAAGCAGGAGCCAGTGCTGGGAAAGCCAGATTAAAAGCTCCCGACCCCCGCCAAAGGAGCCCCTGTCCGCGGTGGGCCAGGCTCCCCATGGTCAGAGGCTGCTCTGGACACTGGAGCACCCTCGTTTGCAGGGCGCCCAGGCCCTCCTTTGGCGGGGGTCGGGAGCTTTTAATCTGGCTTTCCCAGCACTGGCTCCTGCTCCCCCACACCTGGCTCCTGCTCCCCCACACCCTGCTGCCTCTTGCAACAGAGGCATCAAGGTGTGTGGGGAGGGAGATACGAGTAGTCAACTCAAGGACTCAATAGGCCTACTTGCTTACATCCCTACTAGACACCGTTGCCCGGGGAGGAATTAGATTCATTAATGGGAGAAAGGTGTCCAAATTGTCCCTATTCTGGAAATAAACAGCAGATCAAATCTTGACTATCCATGTGACACATTCTGTGGAGGCTAAATTCATTCGAAAAAGAAGTTCAGGATCAGGCAGAAATGTTTTAAATTTAAAGGTTGGCTGGAAAAAATATTACCTTCCTCAGTGTTTTATGAGGAGGCAATCTGTAGAAGTCCGTTGAGATTTTCTCATCATCTTCAGTGTATCTTTGCCCATGGGTAGTGTTGGATCAATTGCTTCTCAGAACCTAATTCTAACTTCCTTATTTTTATTTTTAGAACAGTTTTGTCTCTGTAAGGTGTTCCGAGGGCAGTTCTCATGATGATATCTAAGCTCCAGAATAGATCAAACTGATCACGATGGCACAATTTTCCTCAGTCATGCTTTGCTGTTGTTTATTATTTAGGTTAAAAAATACTTTGGCTTTACACAGAGATGGAAAAAGTGTCACATCTCCAATTTCATACCAAGCCAGATGGTCAAACAGGGAGCTGTTTATTAAGAAGTCACATGCACTGAAGTTTGCTATGGAATGCCTTCTTTTTTTCTGCATATTGAAAGTCAAGGCATATGATTTGTTCTCTGATTTCTGGGTGCCCTTTCCAGAAGGATAAGCGAAGGATATACATATACAGGAGGCTCCCAAATTCCGACGCGATCCATTCCTGAGGAAGCGTTGCAAGTTGGGGGCATCATAACTCGAGCCCTCATTTACGATAGGCGCCGTGCGCCATGGTAAATGCGGGCTGAGGACATAAGTCGCGGTTTCGGCCCCTTCTGCGCTTATAAAAATGGTGTAAGTGCAGGAGCTCGGAACTTGGGCGGTCGCAAGTTGGGGGGCCTCCTGTACAAAAGCCTCAAAGCCACAACAGTACCCATGAAATGTTTAGCTGGCTAATGTAAAGGCTCCAGGGCAATACTAATAATAATTCATAATATAGTAGGTGATACTGTATTGGAGCCCTGATTCCTCAGGTTTCACTGTGATCTGACTAAAAATAATAATTCTCTGTCTGGGACACTGTTAAAGACTGTAATTTGTGATCAGGGGAATGGAGAACTAATTTTACAAGAGGAGAGTAAAAGAGTTCGACTTTTTTAGCTTAGCAAATCAAAGGCTGGGGGGGGGAGATATGGTCATGCTCTCTAAATACAGCAGGAGGAAGAAGAGGGGAGGAAACAGCAGGAAGGAAGAAGAGCTATTTAAACTAAAGGGCAGTGTTGGTCTAAGAACATAAGGGGATAAACTGACCAGTAATGTTGGCTAGGAATGTGATTTTTTTTTTTCACCAGAAGAGCAGAGTTCTGGAACAGCCTCCCAATTGGAGCAAGAACACGCAACCGAAATGGTGTGAGAGTGGAGCTTGATCAGTTTCTGAACAGGATGGGATGAAGGGGTTGTCTGGTATTACACACTGGACACAATGACACAGTCCTAGTCCTGTGTTCTTAAATGAGGCCTTTATATCCCTCATGAGCCTGCTAAATAAGTGGCCTCCTTTTCAGAGGTATTGAAAACCCACATGCTCTGTGGAAATCATTGCACTGCAGGTGCTGAGCTGTGCTGAAAATCAGCCCACTTAGGACATGATCCAGCAAGGCACTTAAACGCTGGCAGCACTGGAGCAACTTTCATGCATTAAGGATCTTGCCAAATTGGAATTGTCTTTCGGGGTCCAACTTGAAAATTTTGACTTAATAGTTGAAAGTCAGGGAAGGGAAGAGGAGAGAGAATTTACCCTCCTGCTCTCGGTAAGAAAAGAAGCTGGAAGCTTTTGAGTCTAGAGAGAGTTCTGCTTTGCTCCAGGAACTGTCGTCTTCTGAAACCAGTCCCATCTGCTGGCTTCAGAAATGGACCAATGTTTGGTCATTTGAAGAGGCCTGTAAATGCTATCCAAAAATGTGTGTTGGCAATGGGAAAGTGCTAAATATTTTGGGGCATGTCCATTCTACATGAGGAGGCTCATGTCCCAGGTAGACTTAAGTTGCTACCAGATCCTTTATATGGCTTTATTTGTAAACTGTTCATTTCACCTGAAGCTTGTTAGACCCTGAGCTAGTTAGATTCTGTGTGTTGAGTTTCATAGGGCTGAGAGGTGAGTTATTTTCCTCAGTGGGCAGTCTTTGGATGCAAACTAGAAATGGTAAGCTTTACAGGTCATTGAGGGGATTGCTTTCTAAAACCGCCCAACTTATGGAACTCCCTGCTGCATGAATTTCATGGTCCATAATAACATTGGTAACTGAATCTCATGCTTCAGTGTGGGGATCATTGCAGGGGTCAGGAAGGAGTCTCTCTTCCCTTTTGTGGGCAGCACTGCATAGATGGTCAAGCGGGGTTGGAAGAAAAGAATGTTTCATCTTCCATTGGTGGAGAGGAGGCTGAGCTTGTTGGATTGATCCATTAAGGCAAATCCTGTCTCCTAGACACGCTTCCTGTACTTGCTTCTCTCTTTCAGAGCCGCTCAGTATGCCTGCACTCTGCTCGGCTACACGCTGCAGAAGAATGGAGCGAGCGCCGATTTCCTCGCCAGGATCAAACAGCTGGAGGCTCACATGAGCCTGGGACGCAAGCGTAAGTGAAACCTTCTCATGTAACAGGAGGCTTCCAGGGTGTCTGAACAAGAGACATCCAGTTCTTCTTACTCCAGTTATGACCTTTGTTGTAGTTTTGTGCCCATTGTTTGATGGGGGTGGTCTGTGGCCCTGCAGCATGGCGTGGAAAGCAGGAAGGATGTGTCAGTTACCCCATCAGTGCCAGGTTTAGTAGGTTATGCCCACCACAGGGAGCGTCTGCCTGATGTTTCATCTGGCCTGCTTGTTGTTCCAGTGTTCCGGCTGGGCAACTCGGCGGACGCCCTGGAGTCGGCGAAGCGAGCCATTCACCTGTCGGATGTGGTGTTGCGCTTCTGCATCACCGTCAGCAACCTGAACAGAGCCATGTACTTCGCCTGCGACAACATCCTGTGGGCGGGGAAGTCGGGCCTCATCCCTCACATGGACCAAGAGAAGTGGAGTCAGCGGTCCTTCAGGTGAGCCTGGGCTAGTGCTGTTTGCTTTTCCTGCTCCTGGGTGAGCCTGCAATAAAGGATTGTGTTGGGGTGGGGAGGGAGTTTTCCAAATATCCTTGTAGCTGTGCTGCTACAGAAATAACATGGCTCTGCCTTTCCTTGGCTTCCCAGCAGTTCTGGGTCACTAAGAATTCCTCATGATTTCTCAGAGGAAACAGGATTTATTACTTGGCAATAAAAGCTCAGACAGAACCACCCCATTCCCATGACTGCTTTCTGAAGCTGGGATGCTCACAGGGGCCTTAAGGGAATTTGACATTCAGGAGAAGTTGCTGCCTAAATGTTTCTCTATCTCTCTCCACCCCAAAGCACCTTGCTAACTGTACATACAAGAATCACTTTTCCCAGCATTGAATTGCAGCCACCTCTGGGTGGACCCTATGAACTGTTCAATGGTGGGCAGCAACTCCGTGCAGCACAGTCGTCGGAACTCTCTGGGAAGGGCTAATGGGGCAGAGAGTGCAGTCCTGCTGTTGAATTTGCATAAGGGAGTGGAGATACAGGGGGCTCCCTGGGAATACGGCCAGGAGTGCACTGGCTTCCGTCCCTGTCCCCGGGGGAAGCACCGAGTACCCGTGTAACTGCTGAGGATTGTTGTTGTTACACGATGATTAAAATGAACAATTTCAAACACTTGAGCTAGTTTTAACTAGAGATATGTCTTCATGTGCTGCAGTCTCACTCGCGCCCGCGGCGGCTGCAGTAACGCCACCTGACGGTGCCATCCTGCCCTTGTTGAGATCCGTGGGAGCCGCGGCCCTTAGCAGACAGGAAACATTAGCAGCTGAACCCTCTCTCCGTCCCCCTTTCAGATATTACCTCTTCGCGCTGATCCTGAACCTGAGCCGGGATGCCTACGAGATCCGGCTCCTGATGGAGCGCGAGGCGTGCGGGAAGCGTCCCAAGGGCAGCGAGACCAGGCACGCGCTCCGAGAAGATGGCAGTCTCCAGCAGCTGCTGCTGATGTTGAAAGTCAAGCTGCACCTTCTTGTGCATGTTCTCAGGAGCAACCCTCCTCTGCTTGTGGACGTGGTGAAAAACGCCTGCGATCTCTTCATCCCGCTGGACAAGTTAGGGCTCCACAAGACCAACCCGGGCTTCGTGGGACTGTGCGGCCTTACCTCCTCCGTCCTCTCCATCCTCACCATCGTTCACCCCTGGCTCAAACTGAAGCCCTAACTGGGACAACTGGCTGGTTGGCAGTGGGATGTGGAGCCTTTGCCTCTGTTACTGGTTCAAGGCCAGCCTGAGATATTAGGGGCCAAAGTTGCTCCCACCTAGTGGTTGATACGGAGTGAATTTTAGGGGGACTCCGTCCTGTAATAGGACAAGTGTTCACAGGCTGCTACAAGAATTGATACCAACTGACTGCCTTAGCCAGGGATTGGATGGACCATGGAGACTGAGCTCCCTTCTTGAACCCGGAGGAGTTCTGGGCCTCAGTTTCCCCTTCTGGTAGCAAGGTAGCAAGCAGAGGAGGCCTTCCTTGCTGCTGCCCGGGTTCCATGGATACAGAGCGGGCTCCAGTCTCCAGGGCTGTCTATCTGCCACCTTTCATGTGGACCTCCTTTTTTAATCTAATAATATAACCCGTGAAATACTGTGAGTATTAAGACCCTGGAGTTCATGGCTAGAGATTTGTGGGGGGCTGCTAAGCCCCGGTTTATTAAGCACGCCAGGTGACTTTGAAAGGCGCCAGTGAAGCTTGCGGAGTAGTGGCACCGGTGAGGACCCGGCACGGCCTGCAACGTTCCGTGCCGTTCCCAGTGCCGACACCTCGCCGGGCCTGGACACTGAGCATGTTCCGGCTGCCATGGTAGTGACTTGAGGTTAGGTTTGACGGTAGGAAAATGAAGATTAGCAGGGATAGTCAGTCTTTCCTCCTACCTCGTCTGTTGGTTTCAGCCTGATTCTACTTTCCCATTGTTTATAGAGCACTTACGGGTGGTCAGGCATGGAGCATGGTGACCTTTGAAAGGTAGTAAGTGACACTGGCATGAGCCGTACCCGTTTACAGTAGCGGGTCGAGACTATAAGACGAGGTTTGATCTTGGCGCAGGGACAGGACCGAGGACTCCTGGTTCTATTGTTGATTGTACGAGGGATGTAAGAGTTTAACCATTTAAACCATGAACTGATTCTGTTCTGGTTAAACTCTTCCCTCCCAGCGTGTGCCCACCGCTGGCCCACACTGTGGGCTCTGCAGAGGCTTCTACCACAGAGCCTGCAGCACGGGGTGGGAGCTGGTTCCCTGGGAGCAGGGCCGGGAGCCAGAGCCGGTGTATGCCGGGAGTCAGCTTATATTATCAGCAGCCTGTTGTGTGGGGTGGCGTGGTGGGGCACTGGCTGCGTGAGGTAGGCAGGTGGGAGCCCCGGCCACGCCCTGATCCGACTTCAGCCTGGGCAAGTTGGCAGGACCCCACCCCAGCAGAGCCGGAGCAACCCAAGCTGGGCAGGCGGTTAACCGGTTAAACCGCTAACATTTTAACGTTTAACTAATTCATTATTTATATCCCTGGACTGTCTCCTGAATGACCACGGACCTTTACGCCTTTGTGCCTCGGTTGCCCCATCTGTCAAATAGGAATAACCTAGATCTACCCTCTTGTGGGTGCACTCCACTTCACCCAACGGTCCGAATGCGCTGAACCTTCAGATGTGTTTGAATGGCTTCGTTGCTGAATGTTCATAAACTGGAGAAGAGGAGGAGGAAATGAACGTTGCAGTGTTAACTTTGAATGGGAATCTGTATTGAGATTTTGGTTTCCTAATAAACGTATGTATTGATCTGAAATTACCACTTTCCTGGAGTCTGTCAAGCTCTGTTTCTCTGGGCAAAGTCGGGTCACGAACACAGCACAGCAGACTGAGGGTTGATTTGGCTTCAGAGATCTCTTTAGCACCCAGCAACGGAGAGTCTCAGACTCTGGCACCTGTTAATCGTGTACGTAGATGATTGAAAATGGTCTCATTTGCATTTTGCTTATTGGGGGCCGTACATGGGGATGCTTATGGGTTTCAGCGCTCTCTTTCCAACCCCTCCGGCTCCTCCACATCCACCCACCCCGCCTTACAAGAGTCCCAGAGCACTTTGTAAATTGATGCATTAAGACTCGCAGCCTCTCTTTGAGGTGCATCTAATATTATCATACATTCTACAGCTGAGAAACAGAGGCACAGAGGGGTGAAGGGACCCACCCAAGGGCGGACAACTGGTCACTAGCAGAGCCAGGAATGGAACCCAGCTGATTCTGAGCCAGATTTCCACCTGGTGTAAAGGGGTGGTGGTCCCTCCGTGGAGCTATGCTGATTGACATCAGCTGAGATGCTGGCCCTGTATTGCCAACTCCACTGATGCCTCATGAATACCTAGCGAAAGCTTCCAGGGCAGGAACAGAGTCTCTCCTGTGTCCTGTTCATTGCTGGTAGGATGAGTGTGAAACCAGGGTCTTGGCTGCATTGGGGGGGAGGGGGGGAAGTTTCATTTGCTCCTGCTGGTTTGTTCCTCGCCTGAAGCCCTAGTCCTCTGCTGATGGTGTCTATTCACGGGCTGCAGAGCAGGTTACTATGCCTCCAATAGACACTTGCCTTTGATCAAGGCCTTAAGCACCAAGAACATGCACATATCCAGGAACAAAGATCTCATTCATAGTAAGGAAAGAAGGGGACAGAATTGTCCAAATGAAAGACTTGAAATAACCTTTCTGGGTCTAAAATAGCAGTGTCTGGTGATTTATGCTGTAATTTTGTAGACACAGGCTACCTATCTGATCAGATAGATACATAATGCAGTGGGTAGAGAACTAACCTGGGACTTGGGGGAGCTGGGTTCAATTCCCTGCTCTGACACAGACATCCTTTGTGACCTTGGACAAGTTACTTAACTTCTCTGCTTCCAGTCCCCAGCAGGACAATGGGGAGGACAGCCCTGTCTTGTTTCCTTGCCTGTGGTGAGGCTAGAGATGTTCAAGATTGTGAGGTGCTCAGATATTTCGATAGCAGGGACCAGCTAAGCTGCTGAGGTAGCCATAGCAGTGCAGTAGCATCTGTAACAGTCTTTACCTGGGGTCCTGCCCAGCAAATCTGTATATTTCACAAATACAGCACTTGAGACGTATCTGGTCTTGGAAATTCCCTTGGATCAAGGGTCTCAAACTCAGGGCCTTCGGGCCACCTACAGCTGAAGCATGTTTGCAACCCAGCCCAGGAGCAGGGAGGCAGCTGGGGCGCCCCCACTCCCCACACTCACTGCAACCAGCTCCTTCCCCCCCCACCCCTAACCTTCAAGGCAGTGTCCCTTAAGAGAAGGGGTGCAATGGGGAAGAGAGCGGGGCAGTGGTGGGAAGGGGCGGAATTTGGGGAGACACATCCCCCAGCTGCTGGGACTCCCAGGCCAGATGCAAAAATGCTCCAGCCATAGATGACCTATGGGCCATGAGTTTGAGACCCCTGCCTTGGATGAAACTGGTTCCACCCTTGAGACAGAGGGGTTTGCATCATAGTTTGAGTTTCAGCAATGGCCAAGCACTCAAGTTGTATTGAAATTCACAGGAGCTGCTCCTGCTGAGTGCCTTTAAAAATTAGACCGTGTGGGTATGAGCCCACCTTTGGAGGCAGCTGGTATCTCCATTATCTAAGTGGGCAAACTGAGGCATGCAAAGGTGACATGACTTGCCCAGAAGTACCTAGCAAGGCAGTGGCAAAGTTGTGTTCCCTAAAAGCTGGATGCTTGGGAGGCTGCCCAGCTGATTAGCAGAGCGCCCACAGCTGGCAGTGTGTGTTTCTACTGGTGGTGCACATCTGCCTCAGTGCGCACAAAATTTATTCCACACATGAATGGAAAAAATTAGAGGGAACATTTAATAGAAGCTTGGAATCCTGACGCCCAGCCCTTTTACTTAAACCACTAGCTAATCCTTTCTACTAGCTATAGAATATCTTTGTCAGAAAGCACAGAATGACCCAGTCAAATATCTAGTGCCCCATTGTTTGCACAACCTAATGTTTCTGAGTGGAACTGAATGGTCATTTTTACAGATCAACGTAGATCAAGGTTATTTTGCAAGTCAAGATAGTTCCTCTAATGGGGGCACCAGACACACCCAGCTGTTCTGTTAGCTTCTGACTTGATCACAGCTGCGGTGGGTTCTTAGCTGTCAATATCCTTGGTGCTGCATCAACATAAGAACAGCCACACTGGGTCAGACCAAAGGTCCATCTAGCCCAGTATCCTGTCTACCAACAGTGGCCAATGCCAGATGCCCCAGAGGGAATGAACAGGACAGCAAATCAGCGAGTGATCCATCACCTGTTGCCCGTTCCCAGCTACTAACAAACAGATGCTAGGGACACCATCTCTGCTAATAGCCATCGATGGATCTATCCTCCATGAATGTATTTAGGTTGTTTTTTTTAAGCTTGTGATAGTCTTGGTCTTCACAACATCTTCTGGCAAAGAGTGCCACAGCCTGTCTGTGCATGGCATGAAAAAATACGTTATTTTTCTTTGTTTTAAACCTCCTCCTATACGTTTCATTTTAAAGACCCCTAGTTCTTGTGTTAGGAGAAGGATTAAAATACACTCATCTACTTCCTCCATACTGGTAACGATTTTATAGACCTCAAGCATATCCCTCCCTCCCTTCAGTCATCTCTTTTCCAAGCGGAAAAATCCCAGTTTTAGTAATTTCCCCTCATATGTACAGTTGAATGCATTCCGAAGGCAAAACCTTGGCTATTCCTAGAACTTATGTGAGCTGTGGGTGAATGCACTCTCATAGGAGAACATTACAAAGCTGCTATGGATCTGCAGATTGCCCATTGGAGTGGTGCTCATGAGAACTAGAGAGCAGAAAATGAACCAAAGAGAAGTGACTTGTTCACAACTTCAGCAAGTCAGCCACAGAGCATACCCAGTGAATGGGACACTGGAATTGGCGATGACAGCGCACAGTCAACCTGTGGAACTCCTTGCCAGAGGATGCGGTGAAGGCTAGAATTTTAACAGGGTTCAAAAAAGAACTAGATAGATTCATGGAGGTTAGGTCCGTATGGGGCAGGAATGGGTCCCTAGCCTCTGTTTGTCTGGAGATGGATGACAGGAGAGGGATCACATGATGATTACATGGTTGTGTTCCCTCCCTCTGGGGCACCTGGCATTGGCCATTGGGGGCAGACAAGATACTAGGCTAGATGGAACTTTGATCTGACCTGGTATGTCCATTCTTATGTTCACTGCCTGTTGCCACTGCTTCCTTAGAAAGGTCTCATCCACTGTACAGTCTGAGAGGCTCACCTATTTCAGCCAAGAGATGTTTTGATTTTTGCCAGCATTTTCCATGCTGCTTTGAGATGGCATTGCAAAGTCAGCTGTGCATGGTCATACAGCCAAGGCCCTGCCTTTATGCCTAGCCATGGCGGGGGAGGCGCAACACCAACCAGGAGTGGAACGTTGGAGACTGGAGTCATCTGGGTCGCGCCAGCGATGAGGTATTGTCAAAAGGGGCAAGAGCTGTCGAGCTTTATCCCCAAATAAGGAGGGTACGACTCAAAGCCCATTGGCTGATAGGTGAAGAGGCCTGCAAAATAGCGAGCCTGCCTTTCCAGCACCCCTGCGCCACCCCGCCTCCATTCCTAATGAGGCTGCTTTGCAGACTTCCCCTCGCATCGACATTCCCACACGTAAAGGGTGATGACATTGCAGAGGGATTTGACACGGTGGCGAGTGCTAGCTGCTGGAACTCGGGTGTCAGAACTCTCCCATTGCAAACAAACAAAACAACAAGCCAGTAATCAGGATACGCTTTGTGCCCGGCGGGAATGATCCCGCCCATCCTTCCCCTCCCACCTCATTGCAGGGCTGTCCCCGTGGAATGGCTTGGGAATGTTGACCTCCAAAGTCTGTCCTCTTCCTCTCTCTAGGGAGTATGCGGAGAACATGTTACCGGCCCCTAGCTGGTTGCGTGTAACTAACACGCTGGGTCACTTCAGATGGATTTGACGCTTTGTGCCCGGCGGGAATGATCCCGCCCATCCTTCCCCTCCCACCTCATTGCAGGGCTGTCCCCGTGGAATGGCTTGGGAATGTTGACCTCCAAAGTCTGTCCTCTTCCTCTCTCTAGGGAGTATGCGGAGAACATGTTACCGGCCCCTAGCTGGTTGCGTGTAACTAACACGCTGGGTCACTTCAGATGGATTTGACACTCTGCTCTTTACGCCAGCATGAAGGAACATGTTCACCAGCGATTTCCAAACGTTTTTCCTCGGGACCCAGTTGAAGAAAATCATTGAGGCCCGCCTCCCAACATCGTTTGATTAGGAAGGGCTGACCTCGAGCATCTCCCGGTCAGTGGTGCAGCGGTGGGGCTAAGGCAGCTTCTTGCCTCTCCTGGCACCGCAGACCAAGCTGCCTCCAGAAGCAGACGGCAGCAGGTTCCCAGCCAATGGGAGTGCGGAGCTAGTGCTCGGGGCAGAGGCAGTGGGCGGAGCCCTGTGCGCTCTCCTCCTTCCCCCACACTTCTGGGGCGCAGCACAGTCTGCGGTGCAGGACAGGCAGGAAGTTGCCTTAATTCCCCCCACTGGTCACCTGATCCCCCTGCTGCAACGAGACCCAGCGCCCCACATCTCACCTCCCGCAACTGGGGCACAACCCCTAGTTTGAAAACCACCAGAGTACATGACAGCAGTACCGCTAGGGACTTGCAGCTCTGCCACTGCAGTGTGAGGGCCTCGTGTTTTGACAGGGGTTTTCCACCTCCCTGAGAGTCTGTAGCAAGGTTGATAGTCCATCAAACTAGTTGCAT